TCTGCATTCCGGCGAAGGCACCATCAGCGCGATCAAGTGGTCTCTATCGGGCAAATATGTCGTGTGGCTGAACGAACATGGAGTCAAGATCATGCGCTCAAAGCTCCATCTGGATAGCGGAGACTCTGAGGATGCGTGGAAGCGTATTGGGCATATTGACCGCCCGCAGACCGACGAGTGGGAAGCAATGGCGAGCGCGTGGAAAGGCCGTGCCGAGTGGATTGACGAACAGGCCGTCGAAACGGATGAGACCGAAGTCGTCCAGACTGACGTCGTCGGCACTCCTACAACCGAGAGTTCGAAGCCCCTGGCCACCTCGCATTATAAGAAAATCGAAAGGCTTGTTGTAGGATGGGGAGGTACGATATGGATTATCCATGTGCACCCCGGCAGCCCTGCGACGGGTAAACGTGGGAGTGAAAAGACGATTGGTCGTGCCGAGATCGCCAAACAGTGAGTGCATTATGGTGCTCCTCAAGGATTTTGGCTAACATGACGCAGCCTCCGTATGGATTGCGTCATTTCTGGAATTTCGTTATATACCCAAAATCTCCTCCTTGTTTTAGCATATGTTCTACCAGACGACGACGAAGATAGCGATGACGAAACCCAGCTGGCGAAGGGCCACAAATCAAAGCCTTCCACGACTTCGACAAGCAGCGAGCCTTCCGGGGGTAGAAGGCGTCGGCAAAACCATCTGCCGCCGGAGCTCAGGCTGATCGATCTCACATCGCAAGCTGAAGTCGATAAAGATGGCCTCAGCGTGAGTCGATACGAGAGTCTCACGTCCGGCGACTACCACTTGGGTGTGCTTCCAGCTCAAAATGCCGCCTCGGCCGTGTCTGCATCAAAAGGAGCCCTCGACACCATTGCTGGTATTGGTTCGGACATGTGGAATGCCGCCACCAACCCGAGGGCCTTATTCAGTTCTGGCGCAAGTATCAAGAGCAAAAACAGCGGAGATGATGTGTCCAGCACTCAGGTCCCGAGCATGGCCGCAGGACCCCGCAGACCTGCTCAGCAAACAGTTCACCCGAATCTGATCAAGCCCGGGGTCAAGGTCTTCATCCACAGTCCGTTTGACTTCATCCTGGCCACAAAACGCGATCTTGGGGACCATCTCGGGTGGCTGCTCGAGCACCAAGAATACCAGAAGGCATGGGAGCTTCTTGATGAGCACCCGGAGATTATGGCGGCACCCCCTGAGAACCTGCATGAGCTAGTCCCGACGACGCCGGATAGGAAATCGGCGAGCCAGGATGAATTACTGGACGATGGATCATCGGTCATGGGGTCAGTGGGTTGGGCTAAGAATCCAAACTCTTCCGCTCAGAAGGAAAAGCGACGGATCGGCGAGCTTTGGATACGGGAGCTTATCGAAGCTGGCAACTGGTCCGAAGCCGGTCGCGTCTGCGGCAAGGTCCTTGGATCATCCGAGAGGTGGGAGAAATGGGTCTGGACATTTGCCGGTGCCGACAAGTTTGACGAAATTACCAACTACATCCCGTCCGAGCCCATGTACCCGCCGATTCCACGCACCATCTACGAAGTCATTCTGAATCACTACATTCAGGCAGACAAGCTACGATTTAGAGAATTGCTGGATCGATGGTCGACGGACCTCTTTGACATCAAGATTGTCACCACAGCGTTGGAAAACCAGCTCAAATATCGCGATGTCCGCGAGGACAGTATTGAGGGCGGCGAGAGGGGTCGTGACTGGAAGATTGTCGTGGAATCATTGGCACGCTTGCACGAAGCAAATGGCCGATTCCGAGAGTCGCTGAAATGCTACATCAAGCTTCAAGACGCCGACTCTGCGTTCCGGCTCATTCGCGACAACCATCTTGCGGAGGCCGTTGCAGATGACATTCCCAGCTTCATCGGCTTGCGGGTACCACAAAACCGAGAGCTTATGCGAGAACCCGACTTTGAGGCGGCCACGGCTGAAGCGATAACACTGCTTGTCGACGAAGCTCAGCACGGTCTGGTCAAGCCTTCAGTGGTTGTGTCGCAGCTCCTCGAGAAGGACCTGAAGCTGTATCTCTTCTTCTACCTGCGTGGCCTGTACAAGGGCGAAGGCATCGAGGAGCATTCGGGCGAGAACCGCGACAGGATTCTGATGGACAGCCAGTCGCTCGTTGACGAGTTTGCGGACTTGACCGTTCAGCTGTTTGCCAAGTACGACCAGTCCTTGCTGATGAGCTTCTTGCGGTCGTCGACTTCATACACATTTGAAAAGGTAAGCAAGATGCCCTCTGCTCTCCTGTTTAATACTAACAACCGTAGGCGGTACAAGAGTGCGAGAAGTACAAGTACGATGATGAACTGGTGCACCTCTACTCCAAGACGGGCCAGATGAAGCGTGCGCTCTACCTCATCATTGATCGGCTCAAAGACGTCAAGAAGGCCATCGACTTTGCCAAACAGCAGGATGACCCGGACCTGTGGGAGGACCTTTTGGACTATAGCATGGACAAGCCGAGCTTCATCCGCGGTCTCCTTGAGGAAGTCGGCACGGCTATCAACCCCATCAAGCTTGTCCGACGCATTCCGGAAGGACTCGAGATTGAAGGTCTTCGTGAAGGCCTGAAGCACATTATGAAGGAGCACGAAATCCAGCACAGTATTAGCTCCGGCGTGGCCAAGGTGCTGCGCAGCGAAGTTGCCGCCGCCCAGAACGAACTGCGGCAAGGTCAGCGCAAGGGGATCAAATTTGAAGTCGTCATTCAGTCCACGCAGCATGTCGACGTCCAAGTCCGCGACGTCGTTCCCGCGCCAGTCAGCGCCGAGGACGTCCAAGAGAACTTCCTCCAGACAAAGACGGAGCAGCCGGGCCACACGCACGAGGCGCCGAAACCAGGTCACTGCGCGCAATGCCGCGAGTCTTTCACAGAGTACGAGATGGAGACGCTCGTTGGCTTCGCATGCGGCCACGTCTTCCACCTCTCGCACCTCCTCGAGGTACTCTACCCAGGCAGGAAGCTGGACAATGACTACGGACTCAGCAGCGAGGAATCGATCCGCAGTGGATACAGGGTGGGAAGCAAGGTCACGCACGCGCGGTTGTTGAAGGATCGTATTAGAGAGGGGTGTCCTGTCTGCACGCACCGGAGCGCAGACGTGCCCGCGTAGGCTAAGGATGTTGTAATTATAGCGCGCTGAAAGCATATGGCGGGATAGCCTGTCCATTTCAAGTCTTTGATCCTACCTACCGTACATCGTGATTGTCCTACCATCATCTGCGCATCTCTTAAGTAGGTGACAAATGTGGGCCGTGCACGGGCCGCAGCGGCAGATCAGCGCCTCGGCCCCCGATTCGCCCCTCCCCCACGCGCCGCGCCGCGCCTGAACGACATGCCATCCCATCCCGCCTCCTCTCCGCTCCGGAGAACGTCGCGGCGAGAACCCCATGCATTCCGCGACGTTCGGCAAGGGAAAACGGTATGGAATCCTGGGGTATCTCCCGGAGCAGGGCTCAAAGGAGGCCGAGCTGTAACCCTCCCCCCCATCCCACCCCTTCTTTCCTCGATCGTCACTAACAGTCGCCAGATACGCCCTAAACGCAAGCACCTCCCCGCTCCTCCTCCTGCCCCCCGAGATCCGCAATAAAATCTACGCCCTCCTCCTCGCGCACCGGCGCATCCACGTCCTGCACGCCCCGCGCGCCCATCCGCCCAAGTTCCACTGCCTCACGCTCCGCGCGTCCGCGAACCCGTGGGCGCATAAGCGGCGGCATGTGCTGTCGAGGGGGATGACGCTGTTGGCGGGCGTGTGTAGACAGCTATACCGCGAGACGGACCTCATACCGTACAGAGAGTGCGTGTGGAGCTGGGGGAGTGTGGCGGTTATGGAGCGGTTTCTGGTTGCGGAGCGGAGGCTGGGGTGGGTGCAGCGACGGGTGTTGAGGGAGGTTTGTGTGAAGGGGCGGGGAGGGGCGTGGAACAGGTGTAGAGGCGTGTTGGGCGGGTTGGAGGTTGTGTGGTTTTGGGAGGGGGAGGGTTGGGGGGTTGAGGTTGTTGAGAGGAGGGGGACGGAGGGGGAGGGGAGGCCGAATTGAGATGTGACGCCTGAATGAAGATGAAGAATATACGACGTGTACGAGAAGGTTGAACGGTATGACTACAACGGACCGCTCGATATGATGTTGATGTAAAAAGGGGACACGCTGAGCTGGAGTTGGTTCATACGGCAGACATCTAGTCCACGGTGTGATTACGTGTCGGATCCAGTTTGAGCTGTGGCTTTAGGAAATAGAAAGTTAGATCATGGTCCCTTGATCCTCAATCGAATCCATCAACGAACTAGACACATAACCAAAGAGCAAAGCAGATACGTCGCCTCCCATGAATAGAGCTCCCCAAAGCCATACAGATATCGTGTCCATCTCAACAAGAGCAATGAGGCGGCAAGTCCTCTCCCAACAGAATTACGCGTTCCCGCCCAGTCCTCCACAGTATCAACATCAAGTACAACTCCTCTACGTTTTGTATCGCTGCTCAGATCTTCAGGCAGCCTCATGTCAGCGCCATTAGACGCCTAGCATCAAGAATCATCGTCACCAAGAAGGTCAGTTGAAAGCCGCTGTAGGCGTGGTAGAAGGTTCAGGCAGCAGCCACCGAGGGTAGGCTGATGACTAGGTCAGAACTAGGGGAGAGCGTATACTCTACGTACGGAAAAGACACATTGGGATCTATAATGTGTGCTGTGGCTGTCAACTAAGCTATACTCGCGTCGATGGATGACTGATAGACAGCTTCAGTAAACGTTCGTGCAGCTGGGGACTGAACACTAGCAGAGGCAAACGTGAGAATGGTGGTGCCTGTCAGCTATCATCATATGAAGATGCCCATTATTTGTAATGATCAACGAGCCATGTATTCATCTAGACTCTGAACCCAGTTTTGCCACCATGCAAAACGCCCGACAAAGAAAATATCCAAGATGTCTATTCATACACGACGTAAAAGTCTTCCGATATCCTCCGCCATATTACAGCCTTATAGCTTCATACCCAACGCCTTGTGCACACGCATGCTCTGCCTGATGCTGAGATCCAGCATGATCTCCTCAGAGCCACCGGGGATAGCGTAGGCACGGACGTCACGGTACAAGCGCTCGACCTTGCCACCCTGGCCGCCGCGGGAGTACGACAGACCGCCGAAGATCTGGGACGCCTCACGCGCGCAGAACTCAAAGGTGACGGTGGACTGGGCCTTGAGGGAGGCGATGGCACCGCCGAGCTTGAGCATGGCCTCGGTCTCGCCCATCTTCTCGCACTGGAAGACGACGTTCTCGAGCCAATTGTAGGAAGCCTCGATCTGGCGCGCCATGTGGGCGAGTTTGAGACGGATGACGGGGTGCTCGATGAGCTTCTTGCCGAAGGTGCGGCGCTTGTTGGCGTACTTGACGGACTCCTCGTAGCAGACGCGGGAGAAGCGGAGGCACTGGATGATGATGCCAATACGCTCGTGGTTGAAGTTGGTCATGATAACTGGGATTGTTAGCGGTATTCACGACTGTTAATGGGGTGATGACATACCTCTGAAACCCTGGTTCTTCTTGCCGAGAAGGTTCTCGACGGGGACCTTAACATCCTCAAAGGTGATGTAAGTGGTTCCAGAAGACCAGACACCCTGGCAGTCCATACGTCTCGTCGTGACACCAGGGCCTCTCTCGATGAGCAGCAAGCTGACGCCGTTCATGCCGGGGCCGCCAGTGCGGACGGCGGTGGTGAAGTAGTCACACCAGATGCCGTTGGTAATCCACTTCTTCTCGCCGTTGACGATGAAGTGCTTGCCGTCCTCGCTCAGCTTGGCCTCGCAAGTCAGGTTGGCGACGTCAGAACCAGCGTCGGGCTCGGTGATGGCCAAGCAGATGCGCTTGTCACCGTTGAGGATGCCAGGCAGGATGCGGTCGACCAGAGACTTCTGGCCAAACTTGACGAGCGGCGGGCATCCAATACCGAAACCACCGATGACGTTCCAGACGAAACCACCAGAAGCGGAGCGGGAAAGCTCGTCGGTCAGGAGCATCTCGTGGAAGAGATCCCAATTGTCGGGGTGTACGGACGCGACGGTGTTCTTGGTGTACTGAGTAGGGTAGTGGACACCCAGCAGACCAGCCAAGTAGCCGCGCTCGCCCATCTGCTTGTAGATCGCGGGGTCAACCTCCTTCTTCTCGTCCCACTCGGTAACGTAGGGCTCGATGTTGTTGGTCATCCACTCGCGGACCTCGGCACGGAGAGCGGCGTGCGTCTCGTTGAAGTACGGGGAGTGGTGCTTCACGGTGTCAGTCAGGACGAGCCGTTCGCACAATCTTGGGAGGCTGACTTACTGCGTGGTACCAGGCCGGGTCGGCGTAGGGGATCATGTCGCCAAAGGGGTCCAAAGGCTCCGACTCCTCAGTCTTGGCAATGACCTTCTTCTCGGCCTTCTTGGTAGGCATGGGAGCGGCGGCGGCGGCATCGGGCTGGGCGGCCTTGGGCTTGGAGTCGAGGGAGCCGACCTGCAGCTTGGCCTGGTACTTCTTCAGGATGCCCTCGTTGTGGTACTTCCAGAACTGCTTGGAGGCGTCCTTGCCAGCAACGCGCTGGAGGATCTTCTTGCCACCTGTTGGCTGGTTAGCTGATGCCGCACACAAAGTAGGATGGACGGCAGAACACACCAGGGTGGTCATCCTGGAACTTTGTGAGGTCGTAGACATCGCCGTCGACGATGATGAACAAGTCCTCGGGCTTGTTGTGCGACGCGACGTCGCTGGTTGAAAAGGTCTTGGACATGATTGCGATGCGAGGGGAGCTGTCGTCGGATGATGGGATTGATAGGTATCTGGACAGGTAGGGAAGAGAGACAAGGTTCCTTTCAAGACAGACGAGGGGGGGGACTGTGATGTTTAAAGACAATGCGTCGAGTCGTGCGTGGCACAGGGGACAAAGTGTTAAAGAACGAGTCGCGACGGCCACGGTCGGCAATGAGGATGGGCTTTGGGGGTGGTCAAGGCGATCACATGCTTGCGGTAAAGCTTCCGCCGTGGACGTCCATCAGTGCCTTAGTAGTAGTAGTGTACTAAGGATGCTGGACCTCAGGACCCAGGAGCGGACACAGCCGCACCCAGTTCCAATGCAGCTCCCTCATGGCATCCGCAGCTGGAGAGGTACCTCCGCACCCGTACGATGCGGGGGAGTACATGGCGCCATGTCGAATACAGGCACAATGTCCGCCGTGCAGCGGCACCCCGTGGCCCCCACAATCTTTACGACGCTCTGCAGCATGGAAACGCTGGTCTCGGGGCAGCGAGTGTGGGGAAACCTGCTGAACCATTCCTCGGTCAGTCGCCAATTGTTGTTTCCTTAGTGGCGGACGCGTTCCGCCTGCTTTGGCACCTCGCTGGTGAGCATCCGGAGGCTGGGGCCTTTCTTTCGCTGGTGCAGCCAGATAGCCTCCCGCTATCCCCGTGTTATCGACTGGTTTTGGCGCTAGGCGTGTCATGTGCACCTGTTTCCTGCACCTGTCTGACCAGTCAGTGCCCTCATTGATTGAATTTCTCGTTGCGTTGGCCGTTCCTTTGGGGGTTGCGTTGCGTCCGGAGGCGTCGCATGTGATTCTTTTCTCTGTTTCGGGAACGTCGCTTGCTGATGTCATCGACCTGCTGTTTCCAAAAGTGGCCCTGGACCTCGGCATCTTTTTTGGAGCGACGTTTTTGGCCAATGAGCAGCGCGGGGTTGGTCATGAGGACCCACTTCACAACCGTACCGCTGTTTTGCTGCCCGTGGCACGGCGACGCGCTCCTGGAACGGTAAGGACGCACACCGATGGTGAGGCATGCACCCCGAGTCAAGCACATGATGCCCAGTCAACCACGGAAGAAAAGGATAAACCCCATGGGCAGAACTGAGATTAGGGTAGCATGCCGACAGATTACCCCGTACCAAGCACGTGGGCGGTCTGGAGTAGTCTAGATAGCCGGGGAGGTTGGATCTTGACCGTCAATTGATGGACTCCGGCCGTTTGAGGTCTCGACCCCCGTAGCCGGCAAGCAGCGCCGCCACCCGGCCGACATATCGTCCGGTCTCTTACCAACCTCATGTGTGGCTGTCATGGACGCCATCATCGATCGAACGGCTTCCAATTCAGCATAATTGTCTTTCAGCCCGATGATGTCGGGACGTATCAAATACCATCACGAAAGTCACATTCACAATCAACTCCTGTAAACTTAGGAACACCGCAAACTCTTGATGTATTGCCGCAAAGTTATTAACTTCACAATCTAGTGTTTAGCGACGATCCTCGTACCCAACTACCTTCTTAGGGCGCTCCCGAAGAGAGTCTTTCACAAACTTGAAAGGCCTTGATTAGCACAAGCAGCAAAATTTGTGGAGGGACGATTTAAAAACCGTCCCTTAGTGGATTTCCTGCCTTTTTGCACGGACTACTCTTCACGCTCAACGGTACACCAAGCATGGTGCGGACCCGCCACCCTGTTGCAATTTTGACAAAATGCTCAGCAAAAGCAGTCAAGCCCAAAGCCTAACAACAGAGTCGGTATTAATGATGTGAACACATCTCTGGCGGGGCCATTGATTTGGGACCCATGAATAAGAGATGTGAGTTTCCTGTTTGCCAGATTGGTATTCATGCGATCCCCAAATACCACGGCCGAGACCAGCTTGGAACCTTGCCTGCTTCAAGCCTCTTTGTCATAGACACCCAGTCCCTCCCGTTTCTGCATTTAACATTTGGACACCAAAGAATGTTACGGGACTTGGAGGCTAGCTTTTCAACATAAGAGCATGGATCAATGAGGCGTATCACGCCCTCCATGTGTTGTGCTGTCCTTATATCCCAATGCGCGAGACTCCAGCGCCTGAGAAAGACGACGCGGTCATCCCTTCCCCAGCCATACGAAGCAGTGCAGTAGTCGCATTTCACAGAGTGTTGCTCCATGCCGGCCCCCCACGAGGCGGGAATGAAATTAGCCCCCGGAGTCAGTCTCGAAGCTTCGCTGCACGTGGGTATCGGTGCACCAGTAATTCCTGGCCTCGAAGACGCCCTCATACTACTGCCTCCCACGCGAATGTCCATCCCGAGGCAGCTGCATATCCGCGGATCAAAGCACTCCAGGAGTCGACGGAACTCGAAGTGCGGGCAGAGCAGTCTTCTTCCGTGTCTCTCGCCAAAGTCACTGAGCTGGTCCAGTAGGAATGTCTCAGTGATCGACTGCTCACCCAGAGTGAAAATGGGCAGGTTCCATTCAATCGTGAACGAGCAAGTGCTACTGAAGGTTGAGATTGACGGTGGGATGGTTGGCTTGTGGCCACTGGCGGCGGCGGGAACAGCAGCATGACAAAGCTTGACGCACTCCTCACATTTGACGAACATTAATTTTGCGTGGTGTTCTGCCGACCGTAAACTCTTCCACCGGTGCTCAACGTTTCTCATGAGAACAGACCGATGCCGGCAAAGGCCGACCTCGCCTTGGTGATGAAGGATACATTTTCCGTACTTGTCAGAAAACTGTAAGGGTGGGTACCGGCGTTGACAGTTGTCGCAATCGTCGTGGAGGTATTCTCTGCCCTCGAGATATCTGAGACGACGCTCGTAATCGCGGCTCTCCCGCCACAAGGCCAGCTCGGGTTGCTTTGTCTTGACTGAGTAGCAGCCTTGACACAAATTCAGACGCATCACCCGTGGCCGTAGCAGCGAAAGCCAGCGGGCATACAGCCCTGGAAATTGGTAATCCAGGTTGAAGCAGACCACGTCTCGTGCCTGGATCTCTCGGACAACGTGGGCGGCCTTGAACGCGACGTCCTGAAATAGACGGAAAAAGGTGAAGCAAGTCTGGCGGAGCATGAACAATTCGTGTGGTGGCGCCTTGAGCATGATGTTGATGAGAAGCTCCTCCGGAATTTGAAGCAGGCGGCTTTCCCGCATGTTGCGAATATGGTTCTTGTTCCACATTGAGAGTTTGGGCCAGCTTGTTTGGATCTCTGGGCCCTCAGCCTCTGGGCGCTCGCTGAGAGCGGTCTGTTCTGCGGGAACTTCCAGGTCTACTTGTCGGGCCTCTTTCTGGTTGACTTGGGGTTGTTGTTTTGTCTTCAGAGCTTTCTTCTTTCCATTATTCAGTCTGGCGACCCTCTGGGGCAAGATATGCGGCTTCATTATGAAAAGATGTTTAGAGAAAACTTGAGTAGACAGTTGATGTTGCAACGCAGTGGTATCAATAGTCGCCTCGAGCTGGCGGATGTGTCTGCCTTCAAAGTTGTATCCTCCTAGAAGGCTCAAAGCTATTTGTGTCTTCATTGTCAGACATCTCCGAAGGGTAAGGTACTATCAATGTCTCTAAATACGTCTATGTACCCCAGTGGAGCCTTTGGGGTCGGGGATGTCACTCAAATCCTTGATACATCAGAAAGGCAGATCGTGAGTGTTTGGCAACCTCGCAAAGATAAACAATGCTCTACCGTCAGCAAATGCGTTTAGAAGTCGTAAGGAGCTGACCCAATTTGCTTCCCATCTAATTGGGCATCTGATTGGGCATATCATTGCGAAAGTTAGAAAAACAGGAGCTTGAAGGCTACGTGACCTGATTTATTGTGGGCTTTCTGGTGCTGAGACGCAAAAGGTTGCTGGAAGAAACCCAAGGCATGACGTCTAGGGCCCGGAAACCCTTAGTATGCGCAATCTCAAAAGGTATGATCAGAGTTCAAACTGTTCTACGAAGAAAACCTTTTTACACCTTCAAATTCTTTCTCTGAGAACACCCACACGGAATGGGCTAGAAATCGCCTCAACCAGACCGCTTCTTGACATCTATTCGACGCCTTGAGCCAACTACCAGACTTCCAACTACCCTGCCGTTTCGGAACACCTTATGATAGTACCGGCAATATGTTTGATTACCCGATGGAACCCTTATTGATAAAGCTCTTTCTGATCATCCTTGGCCTGGAAGTTTTATGTCAGTTCCTTGAAAGGCGTTATCCTGGCAAATGGGACCCATCTCTGAAAGAAGACACGGCACAAGAGCAACACGCCCAAGAAAGAACTGCATACGTTTCCCCGCGAATTCCATCAAATGAAAGTCGAAACAATGATACGTTGCAGTTTGCGAAACGGAATAACATAGGGGCCAGCTCTCCTGCGGAATTAGCCTTGAGAGAGCTGTGTGCACCAGGAGAGGCCAGAAGGGAGGCGCGCGCAGATATCAAGGAGGCCTTAAGAGAGCTGTGTAAAGCGCGCGCACATATAGAGGAGGCCTTGAGAGAGCTGCGTGCGCCAGAAGAGGCCAGAGGAGGCGCACGCAGATATAAAGGAGGCCTTGAGAGAGATATGTGCGTAGGCACAGGCTAGAAGGGAAGCGTTCGCGTGAGAGGGGCTTGATATGTCTTTGTCAGGGGCCTCCACGCGCGTGGCGAGTCGCCTTTTGACAAATAATGTCGCCTTACAGTTCCAGTAAACGGAATAACACGGAAGATTGCTCTCATGAAGAATTATATGTCGATGAGAGGAATACGAAAGCAATTTGCGGCTCTTTTAAGAACACAGATTCGGCGGATATCACCCCTGTTTAACCATCGCTGCCTATAAAGCCTTTGGTCCTGGTACCCTAGACTCACGGCACTCTTTATACAAGATGCCAGTCCTCCCTATTGAGAAATCCAATCGCAAACAAGAGAAGGGGCTTCACCCGCGTTTTCGACGAAAACTCACAGCCGGAGGCTTGATCCATCAAAGATATACTGTATTGTGAGATTTTCAATATTCAAGTACACAAGGGAGCTCTAGCAAGCCCCCAAACAGCAACACGAGATCCATGCACCTTTTGCGTGTGAAGACTCAAGAGGTATGCTACAAGCTTCAGATCCTTCCGGAGAAATGTGTTTCAATCATTTAAAAAGTCTTTCAACTCCCCATTCGATGGATTTTGTCGTCGATCGAAGCTGCAACTACTCAGCCAGTCACTTTGGAACATCCCCGCAAGCGATACCGCCGTCACACAGACGACATGGAGAATTACCTCATCACAAATCCGCCGGTATGGCTCTTTCTGGCTGCGCTTGGGCTCTGCTTTCTAAACGTTGCGTGTATGGCTTTCTACGAGTTTTGCCTTTGCAGCTGGTTTCCATCTGTGAGAAAAAGCAAAGCCCAACAGCAACACGCCCAACCAAGCTCTGCCGACCGGCCCCTGCTATCTTCCTCAAATGGGGTTCCGGAAAGCGGTACAACAAAGCTCACAAAGTGGGCGAAAGCGAAAGGCACCTCTACAGACACGAACTTGAAGGTGGGTTCTAGCTCTCTGAAGCTGGCAACTCGGTCAGAGAACACCCCCGTTCAGTCCTCGCTGCATGTAAAGCCCATGGTCCTGATTCCGGAGACTCGGGAAGCTACTCTCTTCACAATGCAGGTTCCTCCCATAGAGAAGCCTATCGTAGGCAAGGGGATGCTTTCTGCACCCAAGCTTTCTAGCTGGGAAGCTGCATTTGATGGAAATCGTCGGAGGTCTCGAATCTTGCAGCTGCCTGACGAGATTCTGTTTGAAATCATGCAAATGGTAGAGCTCGACGACTTGTACATGCTTCGCCAGGTGTCCTGCACATTCTTGCGCATTTACAATGACCAGACTTTCCAGAGGCTTCATCGGAAAGTCAAATCCAGAATCTTTTGGCAATGGCAATGGCAAGGTAATGAAGACGGATTTGAGCTTGACCCGAAGACAGTAACGAGAGCGAGGCGAAACGTATTCTGCGATCCTTGTTTCAAAGTTAAGGAATCTGAGGAGTATCGGAGTCGGTTGAAGAAGTGCAAAATTACATTCACTGTTCATTCTGCAACACTTCGCACAGGATCTTTGAGTTTTCCGCGGCGCAGCGTTCTAACTCCAAAGAGGTGCGACAATGTATTTTGGCCGAGGGATTCATTTGGCTCTGTCCGCACCGTAAAGTGTCATTCAGATCTGCCAGGAAACTTGCTTTTTCTCGCGATTGGACGTCGAGACTGGCTCCAGATGATAGTTACACCATAGAGTGGTGTCACGAATGTCATCTTCAAAGTGCCAGTAATGGCTGGGATGGCCGCCGAAAGGATTTGGAGCCTCCACATGTCATCCTTTCTGGGCTCAAAACACCTTCAGCATCGGCCAAGATGTCCATCAACTGGAAAGTACCTGTTCAAAATTACGCCAAACGTTGATGTAACGATGGCAGGTGTCCAGAACGCCCTCAAAGACGCGGAGGTCAAATACGGGTTCAAACTGTGTCCCCACTTCAGCTACTGTAACGGAGGACTGCTTCGAATGCTTGATGCTCGGATTTGTGTTTGTTTTGGGAACGATAAGCGTCTGGGAATGCAACCAATGCCGAGCCCTCTGCCGGAGGCAGTTCCGTACACGACTTGCCGCCATGACGCCGACGTAGCACAGAGGTTAAACCGCAACCAGTCAGAACCTCAAGGCTTCATGTCTGGAACTCACTTGACTCGTTGCGATTTCTGCTCAACTACATATGGATTTAAAAGACACGGAAGTTGTGTCTTCTTATTTCGCCACACTAATGTGGAAATGACCGACTACTCGGGTTATGGTCTTCAACGTGTGCTTGAGCCAAGCTCATATGTGACCCGGGCAGCAGCAGTGGATGACGAGCCCAAGTATCTTATGTGGTGCGATGATGAAACTTGCAGGAACGGCAGAAACTGGAACACGTACGCCACCTGCCTTAACGCGTATTAGAATCATCAAAATATGGCAAAAAGAATAATGGAAATTGATGGCACTAGATCTGCATGCGGATGCCCAAGAAAGATTCTGCCGAGATTAATGAGTCAGACGAAAGACATAATGATAAGTGAACCTAAGCAATGAAAATAGACACGTATCAGTTAAATGTTCTATCCGTGAAATGTCCTATCCGTGAAATCCGGCTCGGGGGCGTCGACCGTCTAGCTGTCGATATCATATGCCGTCAGCTGGGTTATTTCACAATGTTCTGTGACTTGCAATTGCGTGGGTATGCGAGAATACACCCTTTACTTTGTTGGGCTCGATTAAATTCAGCTGCCGGGTTGCCTCAGCCAGAAGCGTCTTCCAAAGCACTTCACAACACGCGGAAAGTTGGCATCGTGGGGAATTATATGCTCCATTGGATCTAAACGTGCCTTGAACTGCACACCGGCCGCATTGGCGTCGCGAGAGTTTAAACGGAAACGAACACTTGTTGTGGCTTGCTACTCCATTTAGAGTCGCTGTTGCGGATAAGAGAGCGAACTCATCTCACGGGAAACGGTAAGATTTAGAGCTTTGCTGTCCGGGGGGATGACCACTTACTCTGGGCCTAAGAGTCTGTTTTATTTAAATAATTCTACTATTATTGTCGTCTCTGTCGTCCATATCGTCTCTGTCGTCCCTGTCCCCCCGGCCGCCCCTTTCCCGATCCCCTTTCCCTATTCCTGTCGTCGTTGTCGTCGTTCATGTCGTCGTCTATGCCCACTACCCGCCCAGATAGCAAAACTCAAGAGCTATGGAAAACTGCTCGCATTGATATATCTATCTACTCGCTTCTTCTCTTAAGTTCGAGGTTGACGCGGATAGCGTTTCCTATGATAAGATCATGCCTGAGATTAAGAAGCAATACTGCTGCGATCACTGCTAAGAGCACATCAACTTCAGACACATAATGCGACCGACTTTCATTTTTGTTTTGTATGGCTCTCAGAGGAATCTTACCAGCTGCAAAGCCGCCAGCGTCAAGATAGAAAAGGCCCGGCTGGTGCGATTGCAATGAATTCTACCTGACATCTCTAGCCTGCTCGCTCTGGCAAGTGGAGAATGGAGGCTCGAGACAACAGAAAAGGTACAACAAAAGGTACTAAAATAGACATCATACTACGACAAAAAGAACTTCTTTCTCATCCATTCGATTTGCAAATAGGAATTGCATGTTGGAAATAACAAGTCATTATGTTCTCAATCAAGAGAAAGGATGGTCATTACATCGACGGGATGTTCTAAACGAGTCAATTCCGTCTAGTCCCCACCTCATCCGATGGTTCTCCAATCATTCACCCAAACACTTGTCAAATCAGACGTGGCATAACCCTCTTCATCCCTGTCAGTAGTGAGCTCTAGTGAACTTTTGTCAATGAAGGAGCGCTGGTCTCGGGTTTTCGGACTGATAAAACGTCGCGCTCCGCTTATCCAGCTCCATCATGGATACAACCGAAGTTGCAGGGTGGCCGCACCATCTGCCGGCGCGCCCCGCTGCGGAATTTCTGCAGCGTGCATGATTTCGATGGGCTTGGGCACTCCCGGTCGTCTCATTTTTCTTCTTTCCCACCCCGATCTTCATCCCTTCTCCACGAGGCGTACCGGATTCCCGGGTCAAGTAGTTGCCTTCCAACAACAACCAACAGTCTGCCAACAAAAAGCCATCAAACACTGACTCGCGACAACCCTGAAATGGCCGAACCAACACCAACTCCCGCCGCTTCCTCCCCAGTCACTGAAACGGCTGCACCCGCCTCACCGCGGCCCGCCCCGGAAGTGGAGGTCGATCAGGAGGAACTCGACTCCTCTTACGGGGACGATGAAGCCTCGCGCGCCAGCACCTCGCTCAAGTCCATTACATCGAGATATGAATGGAAGCACGGTCGTAGATACCACGGCTACCAGTCGGGTACTTACAACTTCCCGAACGATGAGCAAGAGCAAGACCGTCTGGACATGATCCACCACGTTTTCTACCGATTGATGCACGATCGCCTTTACCTCGCACCCATCAACACCGAGGGTCTCAAAGTCCTTGACATCGGCACGGGGACTGGCATCTGGCCCATTCAATTTGGCGACGAGCACCCCGAAGCTGAGGTTATCGTCGGCAACGACCTGAGTCCCATCCAGCCGGACTGGGTACCGCCTAACGTCAAGTTTATCATCGATGACGTCGAACTTGATTGGATGGAGCCAGAGAAGTATGACTACATCCACTGCCGCTATATGGCCGGATCCATCAAGGACTGGCCTCGACTGCTGAACCAGATCTACGAGAACCTGAAGCCCGGAGGATGGGTGGAGCTTCAAGAGTCGGCCAACACTCTCTACTCGGAAGACGGCTCGCTCAAGCCGGACAACGCCATGATTCAGATGATGGACGGCCTCATGGAAGCTTGCGAAAAGATTGGACGGACCATGGATCCTGCTCCTTCGTTCAAACAGTGGACCGAGCAAGCTGGGTTTGAAAACATCAGTGAAAAGAAGTTCAAGTTACCGATTGGCAGCTGGCCTAGGGACGAGCGGTTGAAGGAAATCGGAACCTTGATGGGGCACAACTTTCTCGAGGGAGTAGAGGCGTTCACCGCAGCTCTTTTCAAAGATGTCCTGGGTTGGTCGCAAGAGGAAGTCATTGTTCTCAATGCTGGAGTCCGAGCGGCGGTCCATAAGAAAGATGCGCACCCTATTTTCGACTTCATTGTTGTGACTGGCCAGAAGCCCAAGTCGGGCTGACCGAGGTAGTAGCCATATACTTTGTTGTTCAGATGCAATTACCTTACTCAGCTGCCCACATTGAAACGGCTGCTCTGGTTGAGGAACGTGATGCATGAGGTCCCATTCATCTCAGAATTAATAAGATACCTCCTTTCACAATCCCAGAAATAATAAGTTACTCGCTTCACCCCTTGAAATCTCGAAAAAGTGCGCTATGAAGGTGTCACAATAGATTTGGACCTGCCTATTCTCTGATACTTGTCGTAAAGAAATACCAAAAACTACATAGTAGTTCCTAGACCCTTAACTAGACAACACCTCAGGAGCCCTTTGCAAGCTTAAACAAAAAACAGAGTAGATTGAGCTATCTTTCTAATCGTCGTCATACGCATTGTCCTTCTTCCACCAAATCGTGATATCAATGTCACTATCCTCATTGCTTTCGTATTCTTCCCTCCACAAGTCCAGTTGTTTGGCAGAGACTCTTGCCCAGAGTGAGCGTCTGGGACGGAAGAGCAGATCATGAGGTTGCTCAAATTGAAAAACAGTGTCGTGGCACTGTACTGTGATTCTGTAACCACTGAAGCTGTCAAAGTCATCAGCTGTGTAGTCCTCGTCCACCTCGACTACCAGGAAAATGCTTCCGCCGTCATTCAGAATCGCGTAGGCCCCAAGTCCTCCAGCTCCTGCAGTGGTTCTGACTTGAGTTTGGGTGGTGTCGGACGGCGGAATGGCCAGTTGCATATACCCCGTTTGAGGCAGTGGCGGTTCGTCCGCACGTGCCCGAAGAATCTGGGTGGCCGATGCGTCGTCGGAAATCGGGAGGGGATTTGCGAAGACTAAATTCAAGAAAAGAACTATAGCGGCGATTGCCACAAAGTTGAAAGATGTCATAACGAGCGAGGTTTTGATTAGATTGATCAGCAACTCAGGACGACCAGGACGTTCGAGAAATTTTCAACTGTCGTTGGGACGAAAATTTTTCAGATTTATTCAATAGAGAACATATTTAACTTGAGTAGCTAGATACACGTGCTGATAGCTAGCTAGCAACATTTCCATGACTGCATCCGCTGATTCCGGTCGGATCTCAGAGAGCAATTAACATAGTGGGTAGCACGGAGATAGGCGAAACCATATTTTGCTGTTAATACGTTGTATAAATAGCACCGGAAGTGCTGGCATAACGACTCTAATTAATTAAGCTTATGTAACACACACCTCTGGTTCTTGACAAGCCAAAACCTTTCGTACCGAGTCAACTGCTCACGCTCGCTCACCGCTGGAGTGGCGCAGCTGCAACTGGGCAAGGCAGTGATATGAATACAGAAATTTAAACTGGGTGCCCTATGACGATGAATACTCTCTCAGGTAAATTCTATCGCGGTTCTCTTTATAAGTCTTCCTTCGGCGGGGTCGCGTGGTGAACATCCTCAACCTGGCTGGAGGACGCATATGCATCTACATGAGTCTTGGAGAACTCTCTGGCCGGGACACCACGTGCAAACAGAATGTCAAGCTCCTCATATGTCCGTCCCTTAGCCTCAGGTAGACGGAAGAAGGACCAAACGAAGATGGTGCAAGCAGTGGCGGCCCAGAAGAACCCAGCCTTCCCGCGCAAGTTCCACTCCGTGGGGTTCCTTCGCGCAATATGTCAGTGTTCCTGCGATTGATATCTTCAAAATGAAGTTGTGCATGCTCACATCATGTAAGTCTGTAAGACCTGCGAAACGATATTTACTAGTTGATACGCGTTTCGAGACAGAACGACAGTTAACGGCCGAAGACGCACTGAGGAAGTCTCGCTGATTACGCTGTACTGCAAATGAGGTGAGTAATGAAGGCTTTGTAGGCACAATCCGGATTTCTTACTGTGATTGGACCGATGGTAAGGGACTGTTGCATTGTCAGTCATCGTTGACTATCATGCTGGTACAGGATGGAGAGCTTACGTAGATGAAGAGCCAGAAAACACACAAGCCACCAGAGGGCCATAAGCCTTTCTTGCCAGCAGAAACGTCAAGAATACCGATAATGAACAGGATCACTGTCAGAATACCCATGCCTGTGACATATATTTGGCGACGGCCCCAATGAGTGATGAGCCACCAGGAACTAGGCATGCATTGTGAGTAATCCTCTACCAACATCATCACCCCTTGAAATTTGGAACTCACAGGCAGGTACCGATGAAAGCCATTCCCTTCGCACCAAGACTCAATTCAAAGGCATTGGCAGTGTTCATGCCGGCAGTCGTGAAGAAGTAAGTTGGTGTGTATGCGAAACTGCTGCCGGACATGACTTGGCCAGCGAAGGCGATGCAGCAGATTTCCGTGCGTCGGAGGTCGACACCCTTGAAGCAGTCTTTGTATGAGACGCCACTCGTGACACCAGCTTCAACCTTGGTGGTATGGACCATCATGGCCAATTGAGCATTGATCTGGTCTTGAGTCTTGTCGCCGCTGAGTCTTTCGATTGATCGCCGAGCTTCATCGAGTCGGTCTTTGCGAACGAGAAACCAGGGGCTTTCGGGAGCGAGATATGAGATGACCATCAATGGAATTGGCCACAACTAGTTGTAATCCGCCATCAGCTACATAATCGCGCTGGATTCGGATTGAGATCTTACCCATTGGATTGCAAAGGGGATCCTGTACGCCATCTCACCCTCAATACTGAGACAGCCACGAAGTACGCCGGCGGCAATAAGCTGGCCCGTCGCCCAACAAAGATTGACCTAGAAAGTGTCAGCGAATGTTCGAAGTTTGAGTCGCTAGGTATTAACTCACGTAGGTAGTCATGTATCCTCGAAGGTTCGTTGGACAGACCTCAGAGGCTAAATATCTTCTAGTGAGCAGTGATATCAGAAGACTAGAGTCTCAAGGTGGAGGCCTACCGTATGCTGGACTGAGTGTGGCAAACACGCCCCACGAAAAGCCACAAAGAATCTGTCCGACAAGGAGCATGGCGGCAGAGTGGGCGAAGAAGACGACAAAGATGAAGCAGTTGAGGAACCCCATTGCGACAATCATGACCCAGCGGTAGCCGTACTTGGATGCGAAGAAACCGTTCATCAGGCCGCCTGTATACATCAGTACTGTGACATAAGACCATGCCGTCTTAGTATCTCACCGAAGATGGCACCGGTCGTGGCAGCCATGGTCAAAGCAGTCTGCCACGGCCCAGACACCTGGTATCCGATCTCATCGCCATACCAGCTGCCGTATTTCTTCTGGAACTCGGGGTACGCAAAGAAGTTGTTGATCAGAATGACATCGTATCTAGTCGAAACGAATCAGAAGGCCGACGGTCAACAAAGCATGATTCAGTCTCACCCTTCCATGACGATAGACATCGAAATCATGACAGACCAAAACACCGCCTTTCGGTTCTGGGTCAGGGCTTGCATCAATGTCTGTGCATGCTCATCATCAGAGGCTTGCTTCGCCTCAAAGATGGCCGACTGGCCCAACTTCTCCTCGACCTCATTCTCAGCTGCTTTGCGGAGGTGTTGAACCTCGTGATCACCCTTGGTAGCCATAATGATTGACACCATCTGGTGTCAAAGAAGACAGTCTCCACGAACCCAACTCCAGTATCCAAGAGCTGGGGTTGTCATGGCTTTATAAAAGCCCGAACCATCTCACTTTGGGTTGTAGTCGTACTGCAATCGGCCGACATGTCACTACTACCGAACCATGCATGTCCCTGTAAGAGCCGAGCACTCGGCACACACTCAGCGCATTCTGGCTAAATCTCACACGCTCTCTAGGCCCATTCAAGAAGGATCCGAACATTTAGACTTCCCATCTCCACATGAACTTGGCCGGCCCCCACACATGAATGAAGCAAAGTCTGGGGTATGGGGAGAGCTTCACGGCTCTTGATTGGTCTATGCTCGGGGAGCGACCGGGCAACTCCCGGCTCCGGGCACGGTGTTTCGACATCGATGGACGCGACGGATGATTCGACAAGATCGAGCGGCCCAATCAGCCAAAAAGAATAAGCTCGGTATGGGTCCTCTCGAGATGTTACTGTGAGCACATGTTCATCTTCAGGTTAAGGGCAGCAGTCTGCCAAGAACATTGGGTTGTTGCGGGGAAGCGGCATTGGTGATATTTGGTTGGTCAAGAGATTGCATAGATTGGAGATTGCGGAGAAGCTCCGCTAGTTAGAACGGGGTCAACTGACGAACACGCGAGCCTGTTGGCTAACTTGGGGAACTCGGGGTACTTCCCTGAGCGACTTCAAGGCTGTGATAGGTCCTTTTGCGGAAAAAGGAGTTTGCCAAGGTAACGTGCCCGGAAAAGGGCGACAAACCGGCATATTGGAGTTGAGAGTACGGACGTATCCGTTGCGGGGTTTGTTAAACCCGAGGGCTGCCACCGGCTGTTGGGCTCGTGAGGATGTGCTTCGTGAAACCCCTCCGCGATGCCCGCCTGGCCCTTCACAGGCTTCCTAATATGGCCACGGTCACATATGGGGCTCTGGCTCTTGATGCGATTGACCATCATATAAAGTTGCCCGGTGATCGTCAACCTGTGGATTGCGACGTGCTTCATGGGTGTTCAACAATGTGGAGAACCTAGGCCCTCTGCCAAAGTTTCCACGATCGAAGACAAAGTCGATCTAGGACCAGTTCACCTAGAATATTGTGACAAGGCTTACAAAGATTCCAGGAGGCAAATCGAAAGGAGGACAGAAAAGCCGCAAGACCTGCGAAACTCGGGCCACGTCCCACAACTGCTACTTCGAACTAATGCACCCCGACGTCCGTGAGCAGAAGCGACCGGCATGCATTTCAGACACACTTGAACATCATCACGTGGGTAGAAACAGTCATTAATTCAACCTCTGAAGTTTCACAAACGCTTATAAGTAAATTCCTGAAACCCATAAAAACGAGCCACCCTTACATCTGACCCTCAGATCTAGCCCTTTGGTGAAAATATTCGGCCGGAAGTGTACTCTCAAATCTGTCCAGCAGATCCTGATGTCCGTGAAATAGGATTGTGACTTTGGCATGGATCTCCGCAATGTTCCTGTCGGCTTCTTCCTGAGTCTGCGGAGCGGCTTGGTTGAATTTACTAAGCGCTTGGATGAACGTCGGATAAACATCCGGCTGCGTTGTCTCGAACCGCTTCTATCACCCGTGTTAGACGATGATATCGTGAGAAGTTGGATGCAACCGACTTTCACATCTTCTAAGAACTTCAGACTCTCTTGGAATTTGGGCTGTCTCAGCAGAGAGTCGCCGTCCATGCCGTCAAAATCTACATCCTGGTCTGGCTCGCGGATCGTGGGAGGCTCGGAGGACATTTTCAAGCTTCTTAAGTTCTTCAATAGCCAGATATCTTGAGAGCTGATGCGTGGGTAAACAGCCACTTCAGTGTTCGCCGAGGCTCAAGCTCCAGGCAGGGTACGGGGACAAATGAAGACCGAGATGAAAATCAGCACACGAAAGAGATTGGAGTCAGACACGAGATAATCGTGAGTCTGTCTTTAAGCGATGCCCTCAACCCCGCTCATGGCTCGACGTTTCCGCCCGCGGCAAATGGACAGATGGAACCGGCAAGCAAAAGAACCAACTGTTGTGGATTAAAGGAATGCCTCTGGTTGGTCCACCATTTCGAAGGATTCACTTACATAAAATGATGTAATAACCACAACATCTGCAGCCAGCGCGCAAGTTGGCGGCGCAGCAACTTCGAACACATGACCAAGTTCGAAAACAGTCAAAATGGCCGTTATAGTATTGTCTGACTGATGTTTCCATTTGTATCCCCTGGAGAACCAAAATTTCTGAAACATTGACGAACACCTCATACGAGAATAAACAGCTCTTCTTTGCCGAACCTTTCCCTGATGCTTTCATTATCCGACTCTGGCATCAGAGGCCCTACGAAGGCATCACCAAGCAGGATCCAACCATCTTCAGTCTGTCTGAGAACGAATGGAATGGGTCCACCATAAAGGAGAACGACAACATCGCCCGGTTTTGCACAGGCTGGTGCTAGTCCGTAGAAGCCACTGGCCGTTTCAAAAATGCGTCTTTGGTCGCAAGATCTCGACGCTGCGATTCGAAAGCGATCCGCATCGCCCTCACAGAGTGCCACCTCCAAAGGGTCGTAAGTATCAGGGGTTTTTCCTGCAACACTGAAGAGTTTCCTGATGTAAGTAAGATAGTCCGCGTAAAACCGATGTCGGTCATCTGGCTCCAGATCAAACACAAACTCGTAGCCTTCCGTGAAGTTGGTGGTGAGTGTCAGTCCCATCTCAAGGACTGCCCCAAATGGGGCATCTTCTGAACCGAATAGTGGGTAAGACTTCGTCGATGACACTCGGTGCCAAATCTCAAGGAAAGGATGCGTCTTGGCTTCGGCAGGGGATATGTGCTCTTTGAAATGACTGATGTCAAACACCTCGGTGATCCAGGCAATAGTATCGAAGCGCACACCAGAAAGACGGACCTTGCCATCTGTTGAAGACTGAAAGTCAACAAGACCTGGCAGACCGTGTTTATCTCCCTCTTCCCACGCCGTTATCGACATGCTGTGAAGAATGTTGCCGACGTCCTCGCTGACATCCCACCGGGGTACCCAGGACGGAAATTCTGTGCGCTCGTACTCAACACCATGCTTAGCATAGCACAGAGGGGCAAGACTTTCACTGCTTGCTACTGAGGCCTTCACCACATCGATGTAGACCTCTGCAACAGTCTTTCTGTAGTCAACACCAGCGAACCCCTCGAGAGTTGCCTCATTGATAAGTCCCAGTAAGCCATAGACCTTGTCTCTGGGGTTTGTAGCGTTGAAGTCGCGAAAGCTCAAGAGAATCTCAAGGAAGCTAAACTCTGAAAGCTCGCTTTTATCAAACATGCTGTATGCATTTTCCCAGGCGATTCCGTCGAGTTCAGATGGTACATCGTAGTCGTTCGCAAGATTCTGCTCGCTAAGCCAGGCGGCCGTGACGCCCAGCCTATCCCACTCGAACGAGTGAGAGCCGACATAAACCCTAGATGAACGTGCCAGCACAATCTCCTGGACGCACCACACCCTTGTGAACCAGGTCCTTGATAGGAGCCACTTGAGGGCATTCCAACTCTTCGAGTCGGGCTTCGGCAGGCTTAAACGTTGGGCGGTCGAGGCGATGTTAGAGATGGAGACACCAGCGAAACCTTCCATCTTCTCCGTAGCAATCGTGAAGTGAGCCATGCTCAGTAGCTCAACCCCGCGAGCCAGGGCTTGATCCTCGCATGCATGGTAGATCGCTTCCATCAGCGGCATAGCACGCGCAGTCTCATTGTCTTGATCAAGACCGAGCCATACAACAACAAGAGACGCCCGTGAATAAACGTCGCGCATCAGCTGGACTTGCTCTGCCCGTTCCTCCATATCATCCTGGTTGATGCAAAGGGCGTCGGCCCAGATGAGTACCTCCTCGGTGGGAAGTCGAAAGTGGCGAAGGGCGTCGAACAGACTCTTTGTGACCGAAACCTGTTGGCCTTGACATCGAATATCTCCGCGCTGAGACGGCTCGCCCCAGACATATGATAGGGCATGAAATGAAGGTGGGTCATCAATGCTTGCCTCTCGCAGGTTCGTAGTGATGGGGTCGGGACCAGCTCCAGGTTGGAGGACCAGGACTCTGATGCATCGACTCGGCAAACGTCTTGAGTAAATCGATGCCATCTTCTCATCGGTAACGCTTGCTCAGTACTGAACGGCGAGTTGTGTATTTGAGCTGCAGATGACAATGAGCGAGATCGGACACTCTTGAAAAACAGGAAAACTGAGTCCAAAACATGAAGGATTTCGTGGTGGAAGGATTCCTTTAGGCGGGGGCGCTAAACACCGTTAGGTTTGATTCGTTGCCACGTAGCGTGATGGGATTAATGGGTCTTGGCATGCTGCCTTGCGCCAGCATGCCACGATCTCGTAACTCGTGATCACAGCCAACATCACCAGTCATCTTATCTCATCTCAACCGACTAAACAAGCGAGCAGTTCTGAGCATATCTTCATCCCGCACTTTCTATGTTCACTACTTCGTACTTCTCTACCGGCAAGCACATTGGATGACCAGACACTATGCCTACCGCTCCAACAACGTTCCACCTATTTCCAAACCTCCCCGCCAAGCTTGGCGTTCACATCTGGGAGCTGACCGCCGAACCCCGCATCGTTGAGGTACGCGATTGTATTCGTAAACTAGGTCCTATCAACGTCAACGGACCTGAGCCAGGAGCGCAGACAGTGGACTGGATGGTCAAACGTCTGCGGATGATGCGCCACCTGCGCTCGTATACTCAAGTCCCTGCCCAGCTGCAAACCTGCCATGAGGCCCGCGAGCACCTGACTACACACGCTAATGATAAATATCGCTTTGAAAAGACCTTTTCAGGGATCACTACGAAACCCTGGGACGGGTTCGACCCTGTGCCCGAGGGTTACCTTGAGCGGAAGCATTATGGCTGGTTCAACTTCGATAGTGATATGCTCTCGATTGGGGATACAGATTTACACAAGTTCCTGGCTGCAGCCCACCAGGTCCGCCGGCTACGGCTTAGGCGCAACCTCGACGACGAATACTTTCTCGCCCCGAGCCACTTTTGATGTGCAGACGGTTCAGGAATGTTGCCGAGGTCCATTTGATTTGTTTATGGGGTATTAGGTCAGGCTACTTATTAACGGAAGATACATACTTTCACTGTAGACCCGAGAAAGTGTACTTTATTGATTCTGAAGCGATAGGAGGGATGGTGATGAACAGCGTCGACCTGGATGCAATTGTGGCCAGGGAGCACGAGGAGATTAACAGGCTAGCAGAAGAGGAGGCCTATTGAGGAGTTTTATCCTGAGATTGAGATTATCTTGAATATAAAAACTTGGAGTATGAGTACACCCTGATTTCGCGCCTGATGCTATTTGCTTTGAGTAGGTAAGTATATGATTTCAGTATCTATGATTTCAGTATCTGAATGAAAGAAGTAAGGAGAACCAAGAACACCGGCGCTGCAAATGTGCCGTCAAACATCCTTAAGCAAGCGCGCCACAAAGACCATTGAAAATCTTCTGCCGTTGCTTTGGTTGGCGATTTTAAGTGTGGCTTGCTCAGCTTTGTGAACCTTGACGGGCAACCTTTTTTCAAAGTCTCGCATGGCAGATTCTACCTATGTGAGTAAGTTTTGTTTTGAGGTTCCCACATACTAAGGTGTTTTTCGTTCACCTTCCTCCGTTATCTACTGATGTTTGCGTAGATCTTGCTCTCTCCTGATTGGTGCGATCGCCTGTGTTCGTAGCAAGCTGGAGAGCTTTCGGCTATAATAGTGAGACTTCTCCGGCCCAAAACACACGTCCTCCTCCCTGGTCTCTTGGAGATTTCTCCTCTGCGAATGCCATGTCTTCCCAGCGACACCATCTCATTATTGACAAGCGTTTGCAGGGCCCTTTGCGGAACTCTCGTGTCTGCCATTCTTGTGTGACGCAGCTCTGTCGTCGTCATCGTCAGCTCTGTCGTTCAGCTCTGTCGTCCAGCTCTGTCTGCCGAGAGGGAATGCCATCTGTCATCCGAGATGAACAACAAAAGCGTCGCGGAAGGAAACGGGTCCTCATTGCCGGACTTACCGTACATTGATCGTCTGGAAGAAAAGTTGGCCATCCTCAAAGCGATCAGCGACACGGAGATCCCCAGCGAAACACCCAATGAACCGCCAAGGCGTATTGACCAGACTGGAGTCAAGGAGAACGTCTGGGCTGCTTTCTTGGTTGAAACTGTGGAAGAACTCCAGCAGTTCCTTGATTTCAAGGTAAGAAGTGGCAGGTTCTTCGTCGAAACGATTGAAACAATACTTGTTGGCGTTGATTTCGCAGTTGCGAACGTCATATCAATAAGTGAGTAGCTGATTTATTGATTCGATGCACAAAAAGTGATGAATTTAACCTAGTAAGGAATGCAATAACAGTGATGAACAAGCGAAATACCCTAAAATCTTCATATGCAACATCCTCTGGGCAGACAGCATCCTCCAAGCAGGCAACACCCTCTAAACCGGCAACGAGCAAGAGTGGCGTTGGCAGCGGCATTCAAGGTCTGCTAGGCAAGGCGAAGATTAAGACACGCAACCAGTTTTCCATTGACCAGGTAAGTTTTCTGGCGTCTGGTTCCATCGAATTGTTACATCGTGCTGACATATTGTTCACAGATCAAAGAGAGGGATGCAGGGAAGTGCACACTACTTCATACCACCGTCACAGAGGCTGTCCACATATTTCCGGTGGTCCACACAGAGGTCGCAGCAGCATGTAAAAACGCACTCTACGCGCTGGGATTCATCTGGGGCGGCAACACGTGCGACAAGTTCAAGGACGCACTAAGCATCAATGTCTTTGACATCCCCAAGAATATGATCACCCTTGACAATGCACCCCGCCATTTGTGGGATACTGGGAAGATCACTTTCTCCCCTGTTCTGTGTCTACCTCACAGGATCGACCTAGCAGTTCGCGTCTTGGAGCCCTTGGACTGGGGCAAGAGGAAAGGAGCAGGGTCCGAGCTTCCCGAAGGCATTGCGACGGATCCCAGAACTAAGATGAGAGGCTACAAGAACCTGGCCGACAGGATTATCGAGAAGCCAGCAGAACGGCCAGTCGAAGTGTGTTCCATCTCTGCGGACACTCAGTATCGGATCAACGACGGGCACCGTTTTACCATCGCCTCAGACGACTCCAATATGCTTCCAAGTGCAGAGCTCCTGAAACTAAGGGACCGCATCATGACCATGATGACGCTGAAGGGAGGATGGGACATTGATGAAGATGTGCTGTCGAGCTCCAGTGGCAGGGATGATGCCCCGAGGGTTATGTTTGGAGATGGAGATGTTGAGATTGATCTGAAGGATAAGGTACTGGAGTGGAGTGAGCGTGCCGGAGAAGAGCTTGCTCCGTTGACCATTGACGAGGCGAACAAAATGGCCTGGACCTCGTCGGTGATGCAGCAGCCAGAGAATATGGGAGACGTCTTCCCTCCTGAGAGCCAGCCGGAAGATCAAGGTGAGAGCCAGTTAAAGGATTAGCAAGCCCTGCCTCCCTCTTCGCTTGTCGGTCCCGAAGCTTCAGACGAAGACGACGACGACGGCGGCGACTTGATTTTCGGCGAGATTGTGTCGCTCCAAGAACAGTGCATGTTGAAAGAGAACACAAATCAGACGTTCCGCCGAGCTTCAACCCAAACTTTTACCATTTATCAACATGGGCATGCTGGCTCAATCATCAGCTCCAGCAGACCAATCGTTGTACGCCACGACGGTTGGCGGCTGAATAACTATTCTTGCCTTCGCTACACACGCAATTCAATCAACAGCCTCAACTTCACGAGCCATGATGAACACTGTATTATTTATACGTTCTTGACTTATAATTATAAACAAGAGGCTTCCGATTATGATCTTCCAATCACGGTAAGATAAGATCGTTCACCAATTCCGGTTCCCCCGAGCTTCAAGATTGAGTTTCTTCTGTTTCTTCAGGCTTACGAGCATAAACAAGATTACTGCGACATGATTAGCTTCTCTTCGATTTCATGTACGTATGTTGACGCCGAATGAACCGACTTACAGATGATAGAAGGGTTGGAGACTCAGGTCCTTCAGAGCTTTCCGCATCTCAGCAACGAAGACGATGATTTCGGCGTATTCCCAACCCATTATCTCCTTGAGAAGAAAAAGCGCAAATCCCTCGAGCGACTGGTCCAGGTACATCCAGTTGCACTCGCCGATTTCCTTGAGCATGGGGTCAGCGGGCCACGCACCAATGGGGATGGGCCATTTCTTCTCCACAATGTCGACAAAGCCAGCCTCCCTGAGGGCCTTGGCGATCCCGTGGTTTCGAGACTGCTGAATGGTCTTTCCGAGCTTGTCTGTGGCCTCGAAGAAGACTTTTGCCCATCTACGGTAGACGTGGTCTTGAGGCAGGTCCTGGCCAAGAGCCTGAGAATGATCTTCAATGTCGAGCTCCTTGATCTCAATGTAGCCACCCGGGTTAAGATGATCAAACGCTTGTTTGTAGAGGGCAGGCCAGTCCGAGATGCTGGCCTCGAGATGGCGGATGTGGATGTAGTCAAAGTCGGCGTCCCATGTCCATGGCTGCTCAATATCGTCGACCTGGAACTTGCAGTTTGGGGGCACCCAACCAGGCTGAATGGGCGATATATCAACGCCTGTTACCTGGGCCGAGGGAAATTCGTCGGCAAAGTCGCTATGGGTTTGTTAGCGGTTGCGAGATCGGACTAGAGCGTGCACCGGGACTCACATGGCCCAAATGCCTGTCCCCGTTCCAAGGTCAAGAACCTTCTATTTTTTGAATCAGAAACTGCTAGGGCTGAGATATCATGCATTGAGGCTTACTTGGGGGCTGTCACCAATTGGAGCAAGGAACAGCCTATCGTCAAGAAATAGAGTCTCCCAGTAATGCCTTTCGAGTATAAGAGTTAGTCCAGCTCGTTGTGTTTAGGTGACGTTCAATAATCAAAAGCACGTGCCCGAGCATAGTAGAAGCTTACGCAATATCAAGCCCCTCATTCTGCCTCTCGTCATTCGGGAGGCAATAATCGGTCTTTTGGGTGTAAGTGCGCCCGTGAAGGCGCCGATACTCGGTGATGCTCTCGCTCAGAGATGCTGTCGAAGCTGTATGGACACTGCAACCAATCATTCGCAATTTTGTGAGCGTCTATTCCCATACGCATAGAGCCTAGAGTTTCGATTCACCTCTCCCCATCCCCCTGGGAGGCCCCGTCGTCAACAGCGATGCCCTGCTCCTATTCGGCGGTCGTCAGCATACCTCTCGCCATATTGAGATTCTGCAGCCTCAAGCTGTTGCTTCGCCATGGTAAACCTACTTCGTTGGCCGGGTCAGGAGCTATTTGCGCCTCGTTGGCGGCGGTGGGTTGAGCTGGAGCCTGCATTTTGCTTCGGCCTGATTTTCCGCGCAGTCAATGTGAAAGAACAAAAGACTCATGGAGAAAAGGAGCATGGGAGGGAACATCAGTCCTTGAAATGACCTGAGGAAGAGGCAAGATAGCCGCGAACAGGGAAGTTACCCCTCTTTTCCAGCCAGTTGTTTGTCGTTGTTGGTGCTCGCTTTGCGAGCATCCACCCGAGATACCGGAGTCTTCGCCCGCCTCCGCGCACGAATTGGACACAAATTTTATTCAGTTCAGATGCAGGCTCTAAGCGACTTGTGAAAAGTATGGGTCGATTTCCGTGTCCATCCAGGAGCCAACAAACAGCAGACAAGGGGCTCGACCAATCAGTGCGAAATGAGGATGGCTGTATGTACATGAAGACAAGGGTCTGATTGCGTTGGTTGAGCCAAGAGCTGGCGCATTTGCAAATTCCGGTCAACAGGTAGGGAATAGTCCCACTATGAGTGACACCTTCAAATCGAGAATGGACGTAAGAAATCTGCAACTGTGTTCAATCGACCGAGAACTGATCAACCAGCTTCAAATGATAAGTAAGGAGCCAGGCTGAACGAGTCATGACGATGAACTCAACGACGAAGATAGTCGCTTGGTTTCAAAGCTTTCGTCCGAATCGTGTTTGAAGACACTCTGTTTCAAAAAGGTCGACAGTCGTCTAAGTCTTCATTTCTTTCGCCGGAGAAAGCTTCGTTCGCTTCTTCTTCGTTGTCATAGTGACCATGACTGTCTCCTGTATTGGTTCTAGGCTTCCTTCCGGGGGTGAAGACTTGGAATGTGTCCTAGATGGCGTGCAAGTACTCCCCGTGAGCTTTTTTGGGTTATTCTCCAGGACGGAGCTACGTGGCCGAAAACAACTCCTCTTTTTAATTCTAATTGCTCCGCCTTTATCAAGAGTTCAAGCTTGACGAGATTGCGACCGAAAACGTGGTTAGGTATGTCGCTGGACCGAATCCCATGGTTTGTGGCAATCTTGTACGGAGCTTAGATGCACCTCCCTACGAACTTTGATCGCTGACTTGGCCAAGAAATGGCTTCGCGACAACTATGGCCATCTCCACGATCTATAAGAGCATCTTGGGAGATAGCCTTATGATTTTCCTGGGTTAGTCGGAGTGTCTATGAGACCTCCAGGGAGTCGGTTCCATCATCCTCGGGTAGTCCATCACCAGGTAATTAACTCAAATGCGAATCCCCTTCATACTCTTCAGCGCAGAGTCACAAACAACAGTCAAAACGTTCTTGCCCCTCCTCAACTCTTTAGCCAGCTCCAGCGCAGCAATAACATTCAACGCCGTCGAGGGCCCCGCATAGATAGGCTCCTTCGTCTCTATTTGCCTGCGCATCTGCCGCGTGTATTTCTTATCAACATCCCTCACCTCACGATCAAGCAGTAGCGGCACAAATCCGACCCCAGTCCCCTCAACCTTGTGCTCCCCGACCCTTCCGTGCATGATGGCCGGCGAAATCCACGACTCCAGTACAGCTACCTTTGTCACAGAATTCGCAGCCTTCAGAACCCCTGCTACACCCATCGCCATCCCTGCCGTCCCAACAGCCGTGCAGAACGCATCAACCCCCCCCGCAACCTGTTCCAGCAACTCTTTCCCCATAGTCTCATACCCCACCAGCGCGTCCCGGTGATGAAACTGGTCCACCGCAAGCGCCTCGCCCCGGCGCAGCTCCTTCGCCGCCACCTCCCTCATGCTCGCCCACAGCTCCAGGGTGATATTGCGACGACCCTTGTGCACAGTGTCCATCTTGGTCCCGAGCGCAGCCATCGTCAGCAGCCTCTCGACCGCGAGCGTGTTCGACGAGAAGGCGTGGGAGCGGGGCGCGATGTGGCGGAGGGGGATGAGCGGGTTGTCGTCTATGGCGGCGAGGACTGACGAAAAAGCAAGGGGGGTGTCTGGTTGTTCATGATGGGTGTCTTGGGGTTGTGGTGTTGTGAGGTTGGTGGGATGAAGTTGATGTGAAGGAGGAGTTGTGGTGTCTGACAGGGTGGTCTTCTGTGCGGGAGCTTTGAATCACAATATCTGACTCTTGTGAGATATACACATAGTTAGACTTTCTTTGAACTGGAATAGCGTACGGAAGTTCAGACAATTGTCGCTGAGAACGATATGGGGGTGGATGAGTACCGAGCAGTCAACCGTTGCTCTCCACTACTTCTTGGGTACGGGGCGAACTCAAGCTTGTGCGTTTTGATGATCCATTCAGGGACTATTTGAAAAAAACAAATAGTCCAAAATTCATCAGCTTTCTTGCGACGAAAGAATTTCCTCTCCCCTTCCACGTCTATTTCAACCACGTCTATTTCACATGAAAAGTCACGATTAACTTGTGATAAACACGGACTGATTACGTGATCAAACTGGAACACCAGGGCCGTGCGCCCTGACAGTTCTCATCTGGCGACACTGTGCGCTCAGTGCGCTCCCGTCGTCGCGTCACCCATGAGCATGAAGCGGTTCATCTCGTCAACGCGATTGAGAGGATCAAACACCCAGAAAACTGGACTACCTGCCATAATCTCATACAATCATCCGTTGAAATACAGGACAGGTAATCAATCATTGTTTTTGCCCAGGATTGATACTGCAATGCCTGCCGTCACACGGAGTCTCCGGTCGTCGACGCGCCTGAGCGCTGCGGCGCCGGCGGATGAGAAAAAGACGGGTGTTGAGAAGAGCAAGGCCCCCGCCAAGACGAAACCCGCAAAGAAGGATGCTGCCCCCAAGAAAGACACGGAAGAGAAAGCTTCGAAAGCAGCTGGCGCTGGTCGCAAGAGGAAAGCCGCTGAAGCCGAGCCGGAAGATGAGCCGGAATCCAAGGCCGAGGAGGCCAAGAAGCCAGCTGCGAAGAAGGCCAAGGTGCGCTTCACCCATACCCCCACGAACCACAACTCATTTTCTGACACCTTCGCAGAAACCCGCCGCAGGTAAGAAAGAGGTACCGCCGAGAAAGACCAAGGACGAGCTCAAAGCGCTCCGCGACGCATCCGCTTCCGTGCCGGACGTCAACCCGGACGCCGAGCGGAGGGATCCGCCGGAGGAGCGGTACTGGCTCATGAAGTCGGAGCCGGATGTGCGGATCGAGGATGGGTATGAGATTAAGTTCTCAATTGATGATTTGGCGGCGAAGAAGACGCCCGAAGGGTGGGAGGGTAAGCTTCCTTACCATCCCCATCTAAAGACTGGTAGCTGACGATGATGCAGGTATTCGCAATTACGCGGCCAGGAATAACCTCAGAGACATGCGCAAGGGCGACAAGGCGTTCTTCTACCACTCCAACTGTAAGGAGCCGGGGATCGTGGGCATCATCAGCATCGTCAAGGAGCACTCCCCCGACTGTAAGTAACCCCCTCCCCAATGCCCGAGCTAGCTGACCAATGTAGGGAACGCGTGCATCAACGACAATCCCTACTACGACGACGCGGCACCCCACGACGGCAGCAAATGGAGCCTCGTGCACGTCAAGATCGAGCACAAGTTCCCGCGCATCGTGCCGCTGTCGCTGCTCAAGGAGGTCGGGCCGAAGGGTCCGCTGGCGAACATGCAGCTGCTCAAGCTGGGCCGTCTCAGCGTGAACAAGGTTACGAAGGAGGAGTGGGACGAGGTGATTCGCATGGCGAAGGAGCTTGACGAGGACGGCGAGTGGGAGAAGGCCGTTGAGGAGGGCAAGAAGTTTCCGAATTACTCGGCGGCGTAGCGTGTTTGCTTCAAACCAGTTCAATTAGGGGCTAACGCCGAGTATGCAAGTGGTATCAAGGGTGGTGCGTCGGTTCTGCACCGTCTATTCCCGTCAAATGCGCATTTCGAGCACCGCTTTTCCGTTTTCCTTTGCTTTTCTGTACCAATAGCCAATTTTTTTCTTCCCGATATCCACACAGCACATTTCACGCCTGCAACTTGTCCTTTGTAGCCTCCAACACGGCCTTGATGCCCTCGTCCAGGTCCTCGACGAGGAGGATCATCTGGATCCACACCAGGCTCTTGCTGCGCAGCGCCTCCTTATCCGAAGTCTCGTCCAGACCCTTGCCAAGCCTCGAGAGCACCTCGCGAAGACCCAGCGGGAACTCGGGCGTGTCGGGGCTGAACCCGACCAGCGGCAGGCGGACGTAGCAGTTCCACGTCGCGGGATGGGCTGCGTCGAGCGCGCGCATGGCCTCGACGACGTGGGTGATGATCCTCTCGAGGCACGAGACCTTGGCGAAGGTAGCGAACATGTCGAAGAAGCGCTCGGCGACGTCGGGGGTGAAGAAGGACTGCTTGCGGGAGATGTCGAAGATGGCCATGGGTATGGCGCCGTCCATGGCCGGGTTGTTCTTGAGCTTCGCGGCGGCGTCCTCGTCGATGACCTTCTTGCCGGGGACGGGCAAGTCGTCACCCTCCTCGTTCTCCTCGTCCTCCTCGTCGCCGAAGCGGATCTCGTCGTCGTCGTCCATCTTCTCGCCCGCCAGGGGGTTCGCGTCCTTCTTCTTCCCGCTGCCGCGCTTCGCGTCCATCTTGGCCAGCCACTCCATCTCGCAGCGCGCGTACTCGATCCACAGCGTGCCCTCCGTCGTACAGAACCGGCACCCGCGCATGAAGTACCCCCTTGCGCCGCCCATGTCGCCGTTCTTAGCGGAGCGGCGGCCGGCGTGGATCCACAGGTCGGCGTCGGTGGGCATCATGCGCAGGGCGGCGGCCATGGTGCGGCGCCAGCGCTTGGAGGCCTTGACGTCCTCGGTGTAGGCAAGGTACTCGAGCCAGAGGTCCTTGCGGGAGGGGTGGCGGGCAACGGCGCGGTCGTAGATGGCGAGGACGCGGGCCTGGGAGGCGTGCTGGGAGTTGACGTGGCCGACCTTCATGCGCCGGCAGCGCTTCTGGCGCAGGGCGTCGAGGGAGGTTTCCCATTTCGCATAGGAGGAGAAGTCGGCGGGGTTGGAGCGCGGGGCGAGGATGCGGTGTTCGAAGTCGCTGCGTTTCTGGACGATGGTGCGGATTTCTTCCTGTGGTAGGTGTGTTAGGATGGTGTCTTGGTGAGATGTCTTGGATGTCTGTCGAGGTCGAGGGCGAGGACGGAGGTAGACTTGCCTTTGTGAAGATTTCCTTTTCCTCCCACTCGCGCAATTGAGGAACGGAACGCTCCAAGTAGAAGCGAGCCTTTTCGGCGACGGCCATCTTGTTAGAGTCTGTAGGTGAGGTCGGACTGCTGTGGTGGTTGCGGTGGTGACCTTGTCTGTCGGTGTCGGCTACCGAGTGCTGCTGCTCGCCTGACGAAAATGAAGCAGATCGGGATCGAGATCTGCGAATGCTTGACCAGCATTGGAAAAAAAAAAAAGTTGCGAGGCTGAGCACGGGCCCCATCAAACCAGTGGGGCCAATTTTATCGGTGTGGGGCAGCAAGAGCTCTTGAGTCGAAGCTGATTGGGTTCTGGGATCTCTCAGCCTTGTGCCAAGCTCCCCGGCGGCGCTAAACCGTAAAGTGCCTCCGCCATTCCCTGTCCCAAAGCAGCGCCCGTTTGGTGCCATTGGGGCCATTCGGTGCCATTTGGTGGTAATCAGCAGGGCAGCACGCACGAAAGAGCAGAGCTCCAGTGGGTTTCTGCCGGTGGTTCACATTCTGTCATCACCTTCCCTGCCATGCAGCTCCACTGTGACGCCCCGAATGCTCCGGGGGCCGCACGCTGCCCGCGGTGTCATTGCTAATGCTGCCCGCACTTGCCGCATCGCAGCGTTACTTCACTGCTGCTGCTACCTCATTGCTTGCTTACTGCTGGCTGCAAACCGTAAGGCGCCTGCCTGGGACAAACGGACACAAACACGCGATCGGCCCGCCGAGGCACAAGGCACCGATTCCACTATTATTGCTTAGGTCCTTCCCTTCCACATTCCCCTCCAAATTCCCATCTTCCCTTCCTCTCCCACCTCTGCCACCTTACCTCCCACATACACCTCCCCTCGACACACACGACACCACCACCGGATCACCCGGATGACCCTCTCTTCCCTTTGTTTTGCTTGAGCTGTCCTTCCGCCATGTCGTCCAAGTACAAGGACAAAGACGGCGGCGTCGTGCTGACCTTCAATGGCCAGTGGGTGAGCTGGTCGCACACTGCCATAGCTTACAGTAAGTCGGACCATTTTCCGGTTTGCGATGGAACCTCGTCGCGACGCTGCTGCGCGCACAATTCTCGTCGCCTGCCCGCGCCCTTGGGACGACAGCAGGCGCACCACCCAAAGAACAGCTGGACTGACCTCTTCCCGCGTAAACAGCTGCCTTCATTAGCGCATTCATCGTCGGCGTCTCTCTGCACTTCCACAAGATTGTCCAGAATGAGTGGTACGGCTACCCGGACGAGTGGTTCCCCTCCGTCTCCGCGACCATTGGCGACCGATATCCCGAGCGGTCCTTCTTCATGCTCTTCATCGCAATCACCTCCGGCCCGCGCTTCGCCCTCGTCGGCCTGTGGTACCTCCTCACTCGCCGTCCGGGCCAGACGCTGCCCAAGTTTACCTTTGCCATGGGCATTCTGCGCACCTTCATGTGCGGCGGCTTCACCTACGTCACTTCCACCGATGACCACGACTGGCACGACATTTTCATGATCTCCTACATCGTCGCCTCACTGCCATGGACCATTGGCTGTGTCACGCTGAGCCCGCCGAATCCCAAGGCGATCAAGTACCGCAAGACGATTGCTTACTCCTTCTTCGGCACCCTCGTGCCGCTGATTTACTTCTTCATCCAGCACAAGGTGCACCGCGTCGCGGGAGGTGGGCATCCCTGGATTCCTCGCCCGTCGAGGCCCAATTGCTAACACAACCCAGCTTATACGATCTACGCCTTCTTCGAATGGGCGCTCATCCTCTTCGACGTTGCCTTCGACGCCGTGACGGCCCTCGACTTCGACACCTTCGAGGTGGTGATCAGGGATGTCAAGGGTTCCAGCAAGGGGTACGTCCAATGGCTCCCGAAATAGTCTTGTACATACCAGTACAGCAGACCAAATAAATCCGCTTCGAGGCTCCCGTTCTAAGGCTTGTAATAGTGAAAACCGGTCGTCTGTCCCCTCTGCCGTTCTCGAGAAGGAGTAGGTCCCCCCCATCCCTGCGCTCGCGTGTGAACAATTGCTCATGTGCGCACAGGAAAGAAAAGGCCAGCGCCGGCGTGCTGACTGCGCGCTTTACCTGGACGGAGGCCCTCGATACCGCTGCCGATGTCTACCACGGCTTCATCTTCTGGTCCATGTTGACCAGTCTGGGTGTTTTGGTGTGGTACTTCCCGCTGTGGCACATGGGCATCTCTGGCTACGAGGCCTTTGTCATGTCCACGATCCTGCCCGGCATTTTGGGAATCCGCTCGGTTCGCTCGCTGGTGATGAAAAACCAGCGGTTCGTCCACCTGATTTCCTTGGTTGGTCTGCTGGCCTACCTGGTTTTGGACCCTGCGAAGCGCCTGTTTACCGTTGGTTTCGCCGTGGCAACCTCGTGCCTCGGCTGGGTTGCGACTTGGCACTCTGAGAGAGCGCACCAAGCGCGCCTCGAGTCCAAGATTCTGGCGTGGACAATTGGCCTGATCGCCTCGTCCACTGCCAAGTTCATGTGGTGGACGAACAACCCCCTCTGGCCCGTCATGCACGCTGCCAACGGTGGCTGGAATGCCACTGGCTTTGCGATTGCTGTGGTTGCGTGTTTGAGGTTTACCCGAAAGGCACCCCTGACCCGCGGCGACTACCCTGAAGACTCCAAGGGCGGTTCTTCCCTGCTCGCTGCTTTTGGTGTTGGTGGTCTGTTCTTCGGTATCCACTCGCTTCTGTCTGACACCAGCACCATGATCCTCTGGGTCTGGGATGGTTACCCGATCCGCGGCCCCACATCCAACACGTACGGCTGGATGACCATTATTGCGATGACCGCCGGCCTCCTGGTCGGCCTTTACCGACCCGGCTTCATGAGCTCATGGACCGCGTACGGTGTTGGCTGCGTTGGTGCGGCCATCCTCACCTCATACCACCATTGGTTCGGATACTACGGTGCTCTTACCACTGCGTTCTATCTCATGGGTCTCAGTGTCCCATTCCTTTCTAACGCTGCCAAGAGAAGCCCTGGTCTCACATTTGGCCTGGGTTTCTTCATCTATAACTTCATGGTTCTCTTCCACGTCTGGGTGGTTGCTTATGCTTTCGTCCCCGGCGGCCCTCTTGTCCGTGAGCACACTGACTGGGTCATGATGACCACCTTCATCCTCATCGGCGCTGGTGTCTTTGACCTCACCTCGTCGCAGGCCCGCCGCCCCGCCAAGAGCCGCTCCTCCCCCTCCCAACACAAGAAGTACAACACCATCGCCGCCTTCTTCGTCAACATTGTGTTCCTCGCCGCGGCATTCATGCGCTTCCCAACAAACGACTTCAAGCCGTACCACCCCGAGGACCGCATTCTCACAGCCGGCATCTGGACCATCCACTTTTCTCTCGACAACGACATGTGGTCCTCTGAATACCGCATGCGCGACCTTATTAAGGAGCTCGAGATTGACGTTGTCGGTCTGCTCGAGTCGGACCTTCAGCGCATCATCATGGGCAACCGTGATACCACCCAATTCCTTGCCGAAGACCTCGGCATGTACGTCGACTACGGCCCAGGTCCCAACAAGCACACCTGGGGATCCGCCCTCCTCTCCAAGTTCCCCATTCTCAAGTCAACCCATCACCTTCTGCCCAGCCCGGTCGGCGAGCTCGCTCCCGCCATCTCTGCCACCCTTGATGTTTACGGCCAGGAGGTCGATGTCTTCGTGTTCCACTCCGGACAAGAAGAAGACCCTGAGGATCGCCGTCTCCAAACCGAGTACCTCTCCAAGCTCATGGGCGAGTCAACGAACCCGTCCATCCTGCTCTCTTACCTTGTCACCAAGCCTCTCCAGGGCAACTACAACACCTACGTCAGCCCGCTCTCCGGCATGCACGACGTCGATCCCACGGATTGGGACAGATGGTGCGAGTACATCCTCTACAAGGGCCTCAAGCGTACCGGCTATGCCCGCGTTAGCCGCAGTACCATCACCGACACGGAGCTGCAGGTCGCCAAGTTCGTCATCCCCAAGTCCAAGGACGAGGTCGCGCAGATCGAGGCGCAGAGTGACGAGACGAGGAATAGACGCGTCAGCGAGCACAGCGTGCCCCAGGGATGGAAGTTCCCGGACATGTTCAAGGGACAGGGCGTCAGGGATCACAGGTACCACGTCTTTAACGAGCCGAGGTACTATGACAACTAAAAAGAGGTTCCGAGATATTGATCTTATGAGAGATGGGAAGGGGTGGTAATGGCTGGGTTGGGCTTTCCTTTGTTGGGGATCGGATCATGTGGTGGTTGTATATCCTAATATGAGGTTATGTTAATTGAGTTATGTCTACATTTCAAATCTGTCTTGAGTTGATGTGGGCATCGGCTTGGTGTCCACATGTCGGCACGGTGCACTGTGACAGTCGTATATAGTGACTCATCCCATGCGTAGTCTATTAAGCTCCAACAGCAATTAGATGCCTGATGGTAGAGTCTCGCGACCCCTCCCCCACTTCTCTGAAGCGGATGGATTGACATATGAGCCTGGTCAGCGAGAGAGCGCCTCGCGGCGAACGAAACCACACTTAACCACCGTTACTCGTCCCTGTCCTAAACGTATTCGACGCAGAATATAGGGCTTGTAATGGAAGAGAAGAAAGTGAGTAGGGGTTGGCGATACTTTCGGTTTCGCTTCGTCAATCCCGTTGACGTTCATGCACTTAGCAGGGGTTTAGCAACAATATCAAGCCGTCTGGGTGAAATGATTTCACATTGCTTGCTCTGGGAAGTAATGTCTGCGCCTTTGGCTGTGTTTATGTATCGGTCGATGAGGTCAACATTTCTGAACAGTGATGGTCGCAGTCAGCCAGTGATTATGGACGTGGGGAGTAGAGACATGCGGATTGGTATAAAGGCCCAGTATGCATGTAAGCAAGTAGGTTTCAAGGGCAATGATAAGCTCATTCTGTATTCGTCGACTTCCTACTATGAATTTCTTGCCGTCTAGGCTTCATCAAAAAGGGCAACGTCCCAAGGCAAGATTCTCCAGACTTGGCTCTTTGTTCAGTGCCACTCGTCCGTTCTGGGAGAGTATGCATTCCAGAATAAGGAGGTTGTCATAGAAGAACAACTCGATGCAGGCTGGTGTGAATGATTCATCTTGATGACATCTGAGGTTGTGTTCTCGACACCTCAGATGACAACATACTTGTTCTTGGCGCCATCAAATCCAAGCCCGTGGAGACAAAAGCCGATTGGGCTGTGTAGTAGTGGCAGTAGCGGCGGTCTGGCAGGGGGTTCATATACCCTATGATGACTCGGTTTCTTATCTCATACGCCAGCCGGATGCTTCATCTCGGCTATGGTGTTCGCTCGGCTGGGTTCGTGAAGGCACGTGGGTTCATATTGGGCGGCGTGGGACAGCGTCAGCTGTGGCTGACAAGTATGGTTCTCTGAGGGAATCCGGGGTTGAGATGCTACTGACGGCAAGATTCGTATATAGAAGTCTAGTGGGACAGAATAGAGATGCGATCGAGCAACATTCATGTCCTTTTCCATGACAGTGTCCCACTGGGAGCGACAGATCGTAGTGCTCTACCCAGCGTCACCATACATCCCGGGAAGCATGTTGTGGGGTACCTTCCGGGGCATAGGTCACTAATCTTGTTGTCTTTTGTCTACTTCCGCGGCGTATACACAGTCCAACACGGAGCGGACGACAGAAGACGTTGCTGAAGTTGAAGTTGAGCTTTGGAGTGAGCGAGGACTTAATGGATCCGGCCAAGGGATACTGGACGTCCGGAGAACAAAAGCATTCCGTGAGCTCATTGCGAAAGATGGCACGAGCTTTGATTGTTGTAGCATACAATTCATGTGTCTGAGTTAACCTTTATACAGGGCAGGCTTAATGGGAACCTGATGGAAGAAGAGGAGTCCCCGTTGATGTGGCAAGAGCCGATTACGACCGGGATGTTATTGTACGTCATTCGTCTGGGGTAATAAGTAGCTTGGCGAGATGCGCTGGGCAATTTGTCTTCGAGCGAAGACCGCAAAATTAGTTCTTGCTTCATTGGGGATTGGAGCCTTCGACAGTTGCTTTGGTCTTGAGCAACTTCACCTCACCCTCTGGCATCACGGGTGATATCGTACGTTGTCTCGAACCCCTCAGGCACGGAGTCCCGAATACGGCGGAGATAGAGGCACCCAGAAATAGTGCAAGTATTAATCTTGCCGTTCATAGGTAGCTGATTTCGCGTCGGAATCCACGAAGAAAAGTTGATAACATCATCTCAGATCTGCAGGGCCGAGGAGGCGCTATGAATTCCGGTCCGAATCATTGTGCTGTGCCCTAGCTCCAGCCTAGATCTACAACACGATGTCACTTTATATACGCAGAACCTGCAACTGTGTCTGGGTGTTTAAGGGAAGAAAGAGGATGTTGTTTAAGAAGGGCTACGTGAGACGGTTCTTTGCATGGAAGACCAACAGACAATGAAACTTTTGGAATCTGGAAGTGCCCTAGTGAGTTGGGATAGCCGCCGTACCAACTCCTTTGAACATCTCCCGCCTAACCACTATCAAGACAGAAGCCAGATGAAGGTGGCACGGGAGATCATCGCTGTCCTTCGTTGGTTAGTATCATGGATGTATTCGCGTCAAATAACAGTGCGGTATTGTTTGACGGTCAGTTTGCCTGCAGACTCTATTCAGATTCTCAATATTTCCAGGCGGGAGTGCTTAAAGAGCGTTTTGCATCAGTTTAGTGTTCAGTGCTAAAGAGGAAAGAATTGCGGGATTGGCCTACACAAAGAGTTTGATTCTTCTTGGACAAAAGACCAGGAATAGCCTGTTAGCATGCCTTTATATAGATATGGATTGGAAATAGGCCCTCGAACAGGGCATGCGTGATCACCAAATGGCTTCGTTCTCATCATGTGTATGTGTCATGCTGGGCTTCTTAGTTTACACCACGATGCCAAATCCCCAACCCTGCCAGCAGAACTCCATCTACTTAAGTACTCCCTGACTCAAAAGATCTGAAATAACCAATAAATGCACTTCTCTTCGGCGATCACTCAAAATGTAAGGTGCAGCGCGGAACCTGGTCGCTGTTGGCTGCTCGCTCAGTCTGAGTGGTGACAGATACTCGAACCCTGGAGCTTCGAGTCTGTCTCACCGCTGGGCATCCACGCCAGGCTATTGAAATCAAATACGCGCCAAATGATGGAGTAAAAGTGGTTGAAAAGCTTTCTGGATATTGTGATAATGCTGGCGGCTGCCGATGGAAAGGGGGATCAGAGGGGGCTCCAAACCGCAGCGTCAATATGATTGCGTGGTGCTACTACGTTTTGCATATGTAGTCAAAGCCCTAATTGCTGAAACAGCATCAGTAAAGTCAACAACAGCAAAAGGCTGCCGGCTCAGAAGTCTACATAAAGCTAGCGAACGTTGTAACCGGAAGGCCTGATACAAACCGGCACGGGGAATGTGACGCTGAACGACTAAGATGTAATATAATACAAGATCTGATCTTGGTCCTCACATTTCGCCTCCGCTTTCGTCTGCGACTTTGCATGGTTTTGAACGCGCTTGCACCTTATCCATCGTCCTTCCACCAAGACGTATTCTGTTCGAATCGGTGCAAGACAAATTATAGCCAGGCGATGACTGGGAGTCAGACTGGTCTGGCTCTCCTTAAGTCAGACATGCCATTGAGTATCAGTGCCTCATTGTCAGGTTGAAGGTTGTATTCTTCATTCTCTGAGATGGCGCCCATTTGGGTTTGCGAGGATCAAGAGGTTTCCACTCAGCGGCACCTTTTAAATAGTTTGAAACCCCTAGAAGGGCGACTTTAGCCAATAGGGGGACAGGTTTGTAGTAGGAAGAAGCATTCAAGACAGCTTATCTTTGACATTTACGATGCGGAACATGGCTGTAGTCCAGCTTCGCATTTATCAGCTTTGTGCATTGATTTTTACATCACCTGAGTCAACCCAGTAAATATCTGTCATTATCTTCCTTCACCGCTTGAAATGTATCTTGAGAGATCAAAGAACACAGGCGGAATGTGACCATTCTTTTGGGGGGTCTGAAATCAGCGGAATGATCTCTTGTTATCATCAAGCTACGAGAGGATCAGAAAATCCCATTTCAGAGGCGGTCGCCCGTCAGAGACTTCTTGATGAAGATGAGATTTTCACAATTGCCGCGCAACTTACGTAAATGTGTTGGGTGCTCTCGTGGACATCACATAACACCTGATTAGGTTCTAGAATCATCAGCCACGGAAGTTTTGTGGAATCAGTTATGCTTACAAAGTATATATATAGCGAAAAGCACTCTCACAGACGAAGGCCAACAATCCAAAGTCGTTGTCGTGATGTGCTTTCTCGTATTACTTCACCCCAGAGATTTGGTGCGATTGCGTATGTAACCTTCGTTCGGCGAATCCGTCTTGAATCGTTAGTCACAGGGTTGCCACCGCCATACTTGAGACGTCGCATTCATACTCAAGGCCGAATACGCAGACACCAGTAAAGACCAACAGATCTGCACCATTTTGATATGGCAATATGATCTTATCAAGTTCATGTCATTCATCCGGGATACAAGGAGTAAGTGCAATGTGGTTCCACTCGATCTCAAACTTCGCGCGATTCTTGAACCAGAGTTGAGGATCTGCTCTTGAGTCCTTCCTCCGAATGTTTATGCGTGGAGTTTTACTTCCCAATTAATCTGTCGAAAGTTCATTTTCTGCGGGCATCAGAAGTAATCACGATGGAGGTACAATCACATCTAACGTAGTTTTTGAGGAAGATAGTGATTAGGTCTAGTGGTTTATTTTATTTCAATCAATTTTGACCAATATCGTCGCCATCCCTATCGCTCTTCGTCTTTGTCGTCGTCGTTGTCGTCGATCGTCCCTATTGTCGTATGCTTACTATCCGCCCAGTTGGCTAGAAGTATCCGCTCGGATAGCAAAACTCAAATGAATTGATATTTACATGTGTTTTGGCCCATAGACAGTGGACAAGAGCACCTTTCGACGCTGCCGGGACATTCTGGTACTTTCGGCAATGTCTACATGGCCTTCAAGTACCTCCTCTTCTGAGTTCTTGACGAGCTACCCGTATCCCAGCCTTGAGCTTGGCATTAAGGAAAGGCTTGCTCTGGCTTGGCTTGTAGCTTCATTTAACGAATTCTGAACTAGTG